AGTACTATCGGAGGGTATGAAGCATAGAGAAGTTGGAATACAGTAGATATTACACCAATATAAATAAAGAATGAGTTCACAACAGTACCTTAGTGGTGATTTTTTTTCTTATACTAACGGAGCTTACGAGTTTTCTGTTGAGTTTTGTGTTGTGAAGTTTTCAAGTTTTGGGTAAAGATTCGATGGACTATGGAATAAGGAGTGGGAAGAGCCTAAACTTGGGGATGCCCAAGGAACCCTAAGGTAATATTCAAGGACAACCAAGAGCCTAAGCTTGGGGATGCCCCGGATGGCATCCCCTCTTTCGTCTTCGTTCATCGGTAACTTTACTTGAAGCTATATTTTTATTCACCACATGATATGTGTTTTGCTTGGAGCGTCATTTTATGTTATTAGGTTTTGCTTGTTGTTTGAATAGTATCCTACGATCTGAAATTCTTAAATGTTAGAGAGTCTTCACATAGTTACATAATTATTCGACTATTCATTGATCTTCACTTATATCTTTCAGAGTAGTTTGTCGTTTGCTCTAGTGCTTCACTTATATCTTTTTAGAGCACGATGGTGATTTTATTTTGAAGAAATAGATGAACTCTCATTATTCACTTATATTGTTTTGAGAGTATTAAATAGCATGGCAATTTGCGTTGGTTATGAATTTAGTCCTAATATGATGGGCATCCAAGAGGGATATAATAAAAACTTTCATAAAAAGTGCATTGAATACTAAGAGAAGTTTGATTCCTTATGATTGCTTATAGATATGAAGATGGTGAAGCGTCATGCTAGTGAGTAGTTGTCAATTTGAGGGATACTTGTGTTAAAGTTTGTGATTTCCATAGCATATGCACGTATCGTGAACCGTTATGTGCTGAAGTCGGAGCATGATTTATTTTTTGATTGTCTTCCTTATGAGTGGCGGTCGGGGACGAGCGATGGTCTTTTCCTACCAATCTATCCCCCTAGGAGCATGCGTGTAGTACTTTGTTTCGATAACTAATATATTTTTGCAATAAGTATGCGAGTTCTTTATGACTAATCTTGAGTCCATGGATTATACGCACTCTCACCCTTCCACCATTGCTAGCCTATCTAGTACCACGCAACTTTCGCCGGTACCATACACCCACCATATACCTTCCTCAAAACAGCCACCATACCTACCTATTATGGCATTTCCATTGACATTCCGAGATATATTGCCATGCAACTTTTCACCGTTCCGTTTATTATGACACACTTCATCATTGTCGTATTGCTCTGCATGATCATGTAGTTGACATCGTATTTGTGGTAAAGCCACCATTCATAATTTTTCCATACGTGTCACTCTTGATTAATTGCACATCCCGGTACACCGCTCGAGGCATTCACATAGAGCCATATTTTGTTCTAAGTATCGAGTTGTAATTCTTGAGTTGTAAAGTAAATAAAAGTGTGATGATCATCATTATTAGAGCATTGTCCCAGTGAGGAAAGGATGATGGAGACTATGATTCCCCCACAAGTCGGGATGAGACTCCGGACGAAAAATAAAAAAAAATAAAAAAAAGGCCATAAAAAGTCCCAAATAAAAAATGAGAGAAAAAGAGAGAAGGGACAATGTCAGTTTCATATACTAGTGGGAATTTTCATTATAGAACTTGGCTTGTATATTCCAATGATGGGCTTCCTCAAAATGTCCTAGGTGTTCCTGAGCAAGCGATTGACTTGACCCATTTCGTTAGCTAAGCACTTTATCATTTAGTATGTTGCTATTGCTTTATTCATGACTTATACATGTTCCTATGACTATGAGATTATGTAACTCCCGCTTACCAGAGGAACACTTTGTGTGCTACCAAACATCACAACATAACCGGGTGATTATAAAGGTGCTCTACAGGTGTCTCCAAACGTACTTGTTGAGTTGACGTATTTCGAGATTAGGATTTGTCACTCCGATTGTCGGTGAGGTATCTCTGGGCCCTCTCGGTAATGCACATCACTATAAGCCTTCCAAGCAATGTAGCTAATGAGTTAGTTACTGGATGATGCATTACATAACGAGTAAAGAGACTTGTCGATAACGAGATTGAACTAGCTATTGAGATACCGACGATCGACTCTCAGGCAAGTAACGTACCGATGACAAAGGGAACAATGTATGTTGTTATGCGGTTTGATCGATAAAGATCTTCGTAGAATATGTGGGAGCCAATATGAGCACAGGTTCCGCTATTGGTTATTGACCGGAGACGTGTCTCGGTCATGCCTACATAGTTCTCAAACCCGTAGGGTCCGCACGCTTAAAGTTCAATGACGGTTATATTATGAGTTTATGTGTTTTGATGTACCGAAGGTAGTTCGGAGTCCTGGCTGTGATCACGGACATCACGAGGAGTCTCGAAATGGTCGAGACATAAAGATCGATATATTGGACGACTATATTTGGATACCGGAATGGTTCTGAGTGAGATCGGAATAATACCGGAGCACCAGGAGGTTATCGGAACCCCCCGGGAGGTATATGGGCCTTAATGGGCTTTAGTGGAAAGGAGGGGAAAGGAGCAAGGGAGGGGGCGCCCCCCCTCCCAAGCCCAATCCGATTTGGGAGGGGGGCCGGGCCCCCCTTTCTTTCCTCCCTCCTTCCCCTTCCTTCCCTGTCCCTCTCCAAATAGGAAAAGGAGGACTCCCCCCCTTGGGCGCGCCTCCTACCCTTGGCCGGCCCTCTCCTCCCCTCCTTTATATACGGAGGAGGGGGGCACCCCATAGACAACAATTGATCCCTTGGATCTCTTAGCCGTGTGCGGTGCCCCCTCACCATAGTCCACCTCGGTAATATCGTAGCGGTGCTTAGGCGAAGCCCTCCGTCGGTAGAACATCATCATCGTCACCACGCCGTCGTGCTGACGAAACTCTCCCTCAAAGCTTGGCTGGATCGGAGTTCTACGGACGTCATCGAGTTGAACGTGTGCTGAACTCGGAGGTGCCGTGCATTCGGTACTTGATCGGTCGGATCGTGAAGACGTACGACTACATCAACCGCGTTGTGCTAACGCTTACGCTTTCGTTCTACGAGGGTACATGGACAACACTCTCCCCTCTCATTGCTATGCATCACCATGATCTTGTGTGTGCGTAGGAAAATTTTGAAATTACTACATTTCCCAACAGAATTCATGGATTGCTTTGTGTAGAATTTGTCCCTCTTCGTCGTGCTACTGACGGTTTGTTCAAATGGTCTGGTTACTCGCAGCTTTGGCGGCCGCTTAGCCGTCCCAGGGAGAGAGACGCCATCACCTTCATCATCACCCAGCTCCGCGCGATGGCTCTCCGGTTGGCGCCGCCGCTTCCCCCACCACCTCCGGAACCAGATTAGATCATCATGTCGTCGCCTCCGCCATCGCCGTCTTGGGTTGTTTCATTGTGCTTTTGTGTTGGGCTTGATGTGCTGTGCCCATAGCGGAACTTGGGGCTGTTTGTGTCTGTGTGTGCATGTGAGTGTTAGACTTGACTTCCGGTGGCGTTGTGTGTTGGTGTGTGGTGTGTTCTGTTGTTACCTTGGTACTTTGTGCTTGGTGGTTGCTTTATTTATAAAGCGGGGCGAATGCCTTTTTCGGTACGTTTGTCCATTGCTTGGTGAGATGCCATGTTAACAATGACTACCTAGTAAACTTATTGTTGGTCTATTGTGTGTTGTTTATATGTGTTGTTGCAATATGAGACGCCAAATGTTATATGGTGCTGCAAAATTATTATTTTATTCCACAAAACATTGGTGGCGTGCATAGTACATTAGACGTCGCTAGGTGAGAAATTACAGTAGTGGCGTTGGCCACGTGACACGCCATCAGCATCTAAAATACTGTTGAAGTGGGCTCCAACGCCATCACTGTTTTTAATAGTAGCACCATATTGGTGGTGTCAGCCTCCCACATCAGCAAAAACCTTTCTGCCACGCCATAGCTATTCTTTTTCTGCACTAGTGAATGCTTCTTTCTACCAAGAATCAAATGTCAAAACCTCCAAAGGTCAAGCTAGCGTGCCATGGCCATCATGGACGACTCTTTGCAGAAAAAGCCAAAATTTGTGAAATCATAGCCAAATCATCATATGGTGAGGAGAAGGAGAGGGACATGGACCTAGGGGAATTCTTAAGAACGCATGAGCACCTCCAAAATATGTTGGCTACAATCATCAACAGGGAAATTGTAAATAAAGATAGGAAATTCCACTACAAGACACATCCAAAAGAAGAAGGACTTGCCCGAGTCGAAAAAATCTTCTCATCTATTGCCGCCGACAACCCAACTCGGTAGATATACTTCTCAAAACAACTTATTATGTGTTGAGACATGCTTGTTGCCCTGCACTTCTTATACTATGTTTACTTCAGTAGTACTCATAATTATTGCATCTGACATTGTAATACGTTGTATGCATGTGGATGATTGTTTGGATGCTGAGTCAACATTCTATATATGTAATATAATGTGACGATGAAGTGCAAAACGTTGCAACCGCATCATTAAAATGCTGCCACGGCAACAAAAAACGCAGCCGCGGTAGCAATTCTTCAGTATGCTTAAATAACTATGGCAGGTGCCAAAAGTGCTTGCCACTACTGCTACACATAGCAGTGGCGGGCAGAGAGAACGTTAACACATTTATTGCTACCTATAGTTGTTGTGACAGGCGCTAGCCTACACCCGCCACTGAAATTGACCTGTCAGTGGCGGGCAACATTGCCCGCCACTGATGCCATGTTACCAGTGGCGGGCGCCCTTGTGAGCCTCACGCATCACTGATGGACTTTTGGTGACTGCCACTGCTACGCATTCATGCAGTAGTGGAAGCTCCTGCTTCGATCACTCATCTCCTTGTAACTAATGTACTACCTCTGTCGTTTTTGTAGGCTAGCCTCCAAAAAGGTCTTATATTTTGACGCAGAGGTAATAACACTTACTACAAATGAGGGAGGATCTAATGTCAAAAGGAGGAGAAAGAGAGAGATGTACCTTTTATCAGCAAGGTAGTCGTTTAAAGCTTTGGAGGTGTTTGCACCGGCTGCGTTGGGACAAAATTCTTTTAGAACCTCATTTAGAAGGGCCTCCATGTCGTTAAACGTCGACGCCACAACCCAAGCTCTGCAATCGAATATCTCTTTTGTGGTTTTTTCTTCGAGTGGCTGATTTTTTTAGAGAAAAGGCACGAAGGCCCGACTTCGAATTAATGAAGGCATCAACCAACTAGGATACAATGGTGCTGAATTACAAAGGCAAAGACACTTGACCGAAAACTGAAAAATACCTCTGGTGGCTGGTTATCACTCTCTCCTAGGTTTTTTGGTGTGGCTGGAGATGGCAGACCAACGTCGTCATAGACCGCCCTTGCTAGGGCGGTCTTTCCCAAGCCGTTACATCCCACAATGGAGATCAGCCTCAGCTGCCCTACCTTTGCTAGTGAGATCAGATCCATGAACTCTTTTTTGCTGTTGGTGAAGCCCTCGAGATCTTTCTCTGGAACATAAAGAGTAGGTGCTGCTGCAGATGGAAGAATTGTGCCATTAGATCCGGCAGATGGAAGAATCGTACTGTGCAGCTGATGGAAAAATCGTACCCTTAGATCTGGATGCCATTGATGTAAGAATCGTGGGCTTGGATGCAGCTGAGGAAAGAATCATGCAATTAGATGCAACTGATGGAAGAATAGTACCGCCTTGCCTTGGGTGCAACCGATGAAAGAATAGTATAAGCACGTTACCTTCTTTAGCTCTCTCATCTCGCCGCTTGTTGACGTTATCGATGCTCGCTAGGAAAGAATCGATGCGGCCAATATTTTCAGCACGGGAATCAGTCCCCGTCGCAACCAGGAAAAGGGCGTCCAATTTCTCTGGAATATGAAGATCGCAAAGGTAGTCCTGAATATCTAGAAGCAACTCCTGCATCTCCAGCATCGACTCATCATCGTCCTTGTAGTTCGCCATGTTGCATTCGGCCGACTCCACCTCAACCCTTAGTGAGCCGAATTTACCGACGATCTTGCCTTGGAGGCTATGATTTTGATGTGACATATGTTGTAGCAAAGTGATAAGTGTTAGTATATTGCCGACGATGGGAGCAACAGGCGACACCATCGTCCCTCCCTCTCGGTTAGAAACTCGGAAATGATCCGCAGGCAGGTGCTGGATGTAGCCAGATAGAGTTTGCGCTCTCACACGACTAGGCCTATAGTTACGAGCAGATTCTTTCCGATGTATTTTCCGCACGTAGGGCGCACAAGAGACGTTATCTTTCTCGTACGTAGCCACGTGGGGTCCGTTTGCCTCCACCACTCGGACCTTATCTTTTTCATTTTCCTTTTGCCAAATAAAACCAGTCCACCGTATTATCTGCATTCCCGGCGTCATGTTTGGTGCTGATTTTCTCTAAAGATATACAGATTTTTTTAGAACTAAAGATATATAGATCCGAGACCAAGAGGGAGGGGGAGGACCACACGAGGTGACGTGTGGCGACGACGACGACTTGGTGCCTCAACCAGAGATTTTGGATTGGCTGTACAGAGTTTTTATGGCTACCTTTTTTTTTCAAATATATTCATAATTTAATCATGGTAGTCAAAAAATACCGTCTGTAACAAAAAGTACAACTAGATTCATAAACCATCTAGGAATGACTACAAGCAGTAAAGCGAGCCGAAGACGTGCTACCTCCATCGCCACTTCCTCATCGAAACCAAGCAAACCAACCTTGTTATAGTAGACAATCAGAAATTCACCGTACTAAGACCCCTCATGACCGGCGCATCAGACCAACAATCATCGCCGATAAAGAGAGTCGTAGATTAAAATGATGAAATATGTAGAACACGAACGAAGACTGGATCCAGATCTACCGAAGACCAGCACCGACCGAATCCCCTCAGCTCCGATGGAGACACACCTCTCACGCCCTTCGGTGATGTTAGACGCGCCATTGGGATAGGATCGAATGTGTGAAACATTATTCGTACTGAGGACATCATCGCCACTGTACAGTCCCAATCAAGATGATGAACCTAACTAGAACAAAAGCGGGGGCCCTCCCATCCGGTGGGAGGGAGGGGGGTCCTTCACACCTCCACGGCCCAAAGGCATCGGTGGTGGGGCGGACCGGCGATGACGCTTACAGGGGGAGGAGGAAACCTAATCGGCTGGAAATCTTTTCCTAGGGAGGACAAAAGAAACATCAACCACGATGCTAGAGGTTTTACTTGTTTTCGAAGATTGCCCTTGACCACAAGTTAGAACAATAAAACTTGATGTGTGTTATAAAAAAAGGTATGCACCTTCAAATATGTATGTGAAGGAGTTTCTAATGATATATTTTTATATCACATATCTCATATATTGTTAGTTTTTATCAATGGTCCCTTTCAGAAATATCAATAATACAAAATGACATCGAAAAACATATTAGGCAGTAACAATGGAGGTGCCAAATAGTATGCTTTGTTCTAGGTATTATCCTAATTCTAACAAATAATCCAAAATATGACAAAGTTTGTTTTTGCGGGGGAAATATCATGAAGTTCTTATACAATTAGAGTCAGGCATATACAATATTATAAAGTACACCCTCTGTTCCTAAATATAAGACGACCGCCAAAACATTTTATATTTAGAAACAGAGGTACTCCCTCCGTTCGAAATTACTTGTCTCGGAAATGGATGTATCTAGAACTAAAATACGTCTAGATACATCCATTTTCGAGACAAGTAATTCCGAACGGAGGGAGTAGTAGTTTGTGTTGAGTATAATGTTTATTTAGGAAACATAGGATAGCGTGGGATTTATTGCACATTACCTTGTATTTTAAGATGACCATGTACTCCTACCCACGAGTCTCAAGCAATACAATATCAATTCTACCAATCCCTCTCTATCCTATCTAACAGTTTGCACTTGTGGAGAGGGTGCCAAACACCCTAGATCCGCTTCTGATGGCCTTACATTTGCGCTATGTGTCGCAAAAACTATGAAGCTGGTGGGGCCTGTATTAAGAGCATCTCCAGCCGTTCGGCCTCCCAAGGCGGCGAAAAAAGGCCGCCTGGGGGCGAACCGGCGCAAGTTTGGCGCTTGGGGGCGGCTCGGTCCCCAGTCATCGCCCGCAAGGTCGCCCTGAGTTCGACGAAATTACGTAGATCTAGTACGAACTCAGCGAAATTTTATTGAAATTTGTACAAAAAAGTAAAAAACATGCGAACTATGCCAAACTACACCGCTAGCCACTACCCCGCGTCCATTGCCCGCCATCTACATGCCGAGAAGCCTGTAGAAGCGGGTGTAGTCGCCGCCGTCGCCGCCGTCGTCGTCGTCACTCGCCCCACCGGAGCCACCCCCGTCCTTGCTGCAACCCTGCCCAGGGTCGCCGATGCGTGGCCGGGAGCTGGACGGCCTGGCCTCTTCCTCCTCGTCACTGTCGAGGATGAAGACGCCACCCTCCTCGCGGCCGCGTCACCGGGCCTGGTGTTCCGCGTACGCCTGGCGCCGGCGGCGCACCTGCTCGCGGACGTAGTCATCCTTCGCCCACTTTAGGGCGGACTCGTCGTCGGGAGCCACCATGTCGGCGTGCTCCGGCTTCACGGGGAGCAGGCCCGGCTCGGGCTTCGGGCGGACCAGGCGAAGGGAGCGCGGGGAGGGGCGGGCACCCTCGTTGATGACGAGAACGCCACTGCGGGTGCGGCGCTGCTGCGGCGTCTCCTCCGGCTCTGGCTTGACGGGGTGGAGAGCCGGCGAGCCGGAGCCCGACGACGAGGACGTTGGCTCCATTCGCTGTGGCCTCCAGGAACTACCGCGGCGGCGAGAGAAGGACGGCTGCATCGGGTACTCGAGGCGTGGCACGTTGCCGGTCTCGATGTGGTCAAGGACGGCCTCGAGGGTGCGGCCGGGGACGCCCCACCACTCGCGTCGTCCTTCAGCGTTGAGGTGGCCGCGGGGAATCACGCCCTTGACGGAGGCGATCTGCTGCTCGTAGCGGCGCTCGAAGTACATCGTCCACGGCGTTTCGCTGTTGGGCGCATACCTCGGCTGGTTCCGCTGCTCCTCGGATGCAGGCGATCTCCGCTCGCCGTGCCGCCCCTTCGGGCACCGGCGGCACCCGGGCGGTGACCGCGCTCAGCCTCCACACCCCCGGCACGCGCATGTCAGGGGGCACCGGGTACTCGGCCTTGTAGAGGAGGCGCGCCTCCGGCTCTTGGAGGTGTCGGCGGCTGAAGCCGTTCGCCGCTGCGCCATCGCTGGGAACCTCTCGGCCATCTTTGCTTTGCTCGTCGGCGGAAGAGGGGAGATGGCTTTTGCGAGAGGGGGAGGTTGTGGCGTTTACCGGCGGGGAGTGGGCGCCTTTTATAGCCCAAGCGGGGCGGCGGGGAGGCGGCATGCCGGGCGACGCGTGGCGGGAGCGGGCGGGATGCGCATTGGCGGCGCCGTCACTACGTCGCCCGTGAGGCATCAATGGAGCACCAATGGAGGCTGACCGACACAGCAGCCTTGGCCAGCCTTGGCATTGATTTCTACGGGAACCGAGGCGATGATGGCGACGAAGCGGCGTCTCGCTGACTAGGCAGGCCCGCACCCCGTTTGCGCCAAAACCGATCGCCCCGGCGCCCACGGGCGCCCCCCAGCGCGTCAGGTTCGGCTTGGGTCCGCCGGCACTAACTTTGGCACAAACCGGTGAAAAATGGACTCTTGGGGACGCGAGTGGACCATTTTTTCGGCGCCGGCGCAAGAAAATCGCCTTCGGGGCCGTGTTGGGGCGCGGCTGGAGATGCTCTAAGAAGAAAGACGTAGACTTACGGTCCGGTATCTATCAAGTCACACACTCCACACCGGAGGGACAGAATAGTATTCATCTCGAAGCGAAACATTGTGGAAAGAATCGTCTCTAAATAATCGATAAAGCTATATATATATATATATAGGTGCCTTCCTGATTTTTAACTTGGGTTGGGCTTGAGAGAGATAGTATAACATGATGGATGGCCAACCTATGGTGAGCTACTCTACAGGAGCAATAAACTCCCTTCTCGATAAGCTCACCAAAGTGAAGAAGCATCCCGATAAAATTCTAGATTTACGGAGAGCCCTGGTGGCTCTTGAATCGGATTTTTTCGGCAAGCTTGCGAGGCGACGGGAGATGAACTCGCAAGTCGAAGCGTGGGTGAAGCATGTGAGCGAACTGGTCTTCGACATGGAAGACTGGATCGAACAGAAGGGACATGAACAATTGGAGATTGAGGAGGAAATGGAAAATTTCCAGGCCCAGATCAAGCACGCTCGTGAGCTCTGTGAAAGGTACAATCTTGTTACTGAAGTTCGCACTGACTTCCATGGTCCTGCTGTTGTACCAGGCCAAGTGACAAAAACTGATTCGCGGCCACTTGTGGAGGACAAATCTGGTATCATCGTCGATGTCCCAAATCCAAGAGATGGGCTTCTCAAGCTTCTGAGAAGCGAGCATGAGAAGAGGCTAAAGACTGTTTTCATCGTCGGAATGGAAGGCCTTGGCAAGACCACTCTTGCCAAGGAGATATATGAAGAGCTTCAAGGGGAGTTCGATTGCCGAGCTTTCGTTACTCTTGGCAGGAGGCCATCCATGAGGGGGACTCTAATGGACATACTTCGTCAAGTGAAGTCCTCGCAGAAGAAGAATAAGGTAAAGCCGAAGACTAATCCTAGGTATGGCGGCGAAAAATCTGACCAGGATCTGGAAAACCTCGTCAGTAAGCTTTGGGACTACCTCGGCACCAAGAGGTACGTACTTGCAGCTCAAGTTCCAGTGCTCTTGGGTAATCTTTTTATTTTGACATTGCCAAATTTTCTGAAAGAAAGCACGCACGTAGTTATTTAAATATTAAGCGCAATATATATTTGACGAACTGTAAATGATGTTTAATTAGTCTGACGAATGATTCGCTTTCCGTCGGATGACTGCGACAGGCGCGCCCTGGGAAAAAAATAATTAATTTAAGTGACCAAGAAATCAAATGTCAGCCATCTTCTATCTATCTAAATGAAGGATGAATCGACGTAGACCGTTAACGACCTCACCACACCCTATTTTTTTTTACTTTCGATTTATTCATCAACTATCAAAATAGTACGAAGAACACAAGTAAAAAAATACATCTAGATCCGTAGACCACCTGGTGACGACTACAAGCACCGGAGCTAGTCGAATATGCGCCATCGTTTTCGCCCATCCCCCATCGGAGCCAAGCAAACCTTGTTGTAGTAGACAGTTAGAAAGTCGTTGTGCTAAGACCCCATAGGACCAGGATCAACGCACCAGAACAACAACCGCCAAACCCGTGGTTCGAGTGAGGTCGTTCCCAGGCAGTTCGTGTCCCAGCCAACAGCATGGTCGGACCTGTTCGACACCAACAACAATGTTGGCGCTCCACACAAGTTCCGACGCCTAGGGGACCTTATCGGCGAACCTGCGGGACAACCGCAACACCCCGAGATCAACAAGGATGAGCACGGAGCCATCATCAAGCACAAGGTGCGGCTCGTTACGAAAGGTTACGTATAACGCACGAGAGTGGACTTGCAGGAGGTCTTCGCTCTGGTGGCAAAGCACGAGCAAGGTGTACGCACTATAGAAAGCCCCCAGAAGGTGGACATCCTGACAAGGGCTCTTGGTCGAGTCCGATTCCATGAGTTGCACAACAATGTCGCGAACGTCAACGTCCAACCCATTCGACGGAGTTGAGGGAGAGATTGCGGGCTTCACCCCTGTCTCCAAGTAATTGTTGCATGGAAGTAACCTATTAGTTTTCTAGTAATTTCCTTAGCATTGTAAACTTTGACTAGAACGAGACTAGAGCTGCACATGCAAGTACGTGGTAGTTTCCTAGTAGTAGATAGGAATGTGCTATGCATATTCAACACGTAAGTGCCATCCGGGTCCTATACACGGAGCTGCTCCCCATCGGTTGTAAGCAAGAAGTATAGCAGTTTACTCCGCATATTAAATCAAACTTTACAAAGTTTGACCAAATTTATATTAAAAACATCAACATCTACAATACCAAATATGTATACTAAAAATCTACATTTAATATGAATATAACAATGTTGATTTGGCATTTGTGAATGTTAATACTTCTCTATAAAGTTTGATTAAATTAAAAATACTTTGACTTCGGACAAAACTTATATGCGGACTAAAAAGAACCTGAGGGAGTACTAGAGGCTGGGGTGTACATGTCTAGCTTGCTTGTGAACATGCTTATTTGATCTACAGAAGCCCAGGCAACGTATATAAGGTACAAATGCTGAAGAAAAAAGTGCACACAGTAGAAATTGATCATTATAGCATTCATCTATACATAGGAAGCAGACCAAGGCAAGCTAATGATGTTGTCGTATTTGTTGACATACAATCCGTAGTTTAGTGAAAATACTCGAGTAAACAGGTAGAAATCTCTCTTATAGGATATCAAGTTATAGGTGAATACTCATAAGACATATAAACAGGTACATGAAGCAATTAATACAGTTCAGAATACTCTTCACAAGGCCCTCAGGATTTTTTTTTAGAAAAGAAGGATGACCCCCGGCCTCTGCATCTGGACAATGCATACGACCACTTTATTAATTATTCTCACAAGACCTTACAAAGTAATACCACAGTAAGCCTAAAGCCGCCGTCTAAGCAACAAACTGTCGTTACACCTATCCAGTTGATGAAGGGGCGCAGATAGCCTGGGCCTAATACCAAACAGACATCGCAGCCAAACCTAACATCTAAGACCTGATGACCCATGCAGGACACCTGTGGGTCTCGCCGGTCCGGCGTGCACTCAGAGGCCGCCGCGCCAACTGCCACCGCTCCATCTTCAGAACTCTACTGATGCATCAACCTTACTCGGTCTAGCTATCGTCGACGCCACCACGGCGCTCAACGACACCTCCTCCCTGCGTGCAAACAGCTGAGCACGTCGCGATCGCCACTGATACACCTCAGCACCATGCTGTCAAGTACCACCAGCCGACACAACTTGGAGTCTTTGGAGAATCTGTCGTGCGTAGCACCTGTCGACCAGGCATGACAAAGCGTAGCACCTGTCGGTCAGTCAACTTGACATCTCCACCAAAGCTCCGTGCAAGACGAAGCCGCTCCACCTCCTGCCTCTGACTTCCAGCGCTGCACCACAAACGATGCTCCCAAGACAGAAACGACACCGCAGTGCCGCCGTCGTCCGATCTGGAACACCAGATCCTAGGGTTTCCCCCAGAGCAGCATGAGTGGATCGACAGTAGTTACACGACGATGCCTCCGTCAAGGTAACGGCGTAGAACGCCGCCATCGCCTGCCAACAGCTCGGTTTTCACCGGCAACCATGTTTCCCCAACTCGCAGCCGGGACTAGATGATGTATCCCGAGATCCGATCACCAAGCCTCTGGCTGGCCATCTCTGACGAAGAAGATGACCACCACCATTGGCTAGCGAGACGACGCGAGATGAAGTAGGGCGTTGCCAGTGTGCGTTCTGGCCAGCACCACCGGCGCTCGCCCCGTCCCGGACCACGCCTCATGACCGAGGGCAACGGCAAGCGCTGCCCCGACGAGGACGCAGACTGGAAGCCCAGATCCGGTCCACCTGCGCGCCGCCACATGGCCACCACCAACCGCCGTTTAGGGGCAGCCCCGCCGCCGTGAGGGACGCCGCCCCACGGCAGCAGGCGCCAGCCACCGGCGGAACTCCGCCTCGCGCCACCGGCCTGTAAAAAATATAATCAAAAGCATTGATGAACTAATACTTTTTTTGAACCGGGCATTATCCCTTTCCATTACTCAACATAACGGAAATAACAACAGTTCAACATGCCCAACAGGAAACACAGAAAGGGGAAGCGGGTTCAAAGCACCACTGGGAAACCCACGGTGAGCACCCGTCATCGAGCAGCTCACTATGGGGCGAAAACCCAGTGGCACCTGAAACGATTCCAGAAAGACTCTAAGAAGTTTCGGCCCTCGATACAAGCCTGATCAGATAGGCCACACCCAAAAGCTCGCGCAGGAGCATAAAACTAGCCAACAACCAACCAGTTCAGAACACATCAGACACTCCACGCATCCAGAGAAAGGCCATCGGGAGAGCGCTGGCTGAGCACGAAGATGGAAAAGCTCTGCCCAGCTTCATCAACCATTACGCGTCGCATCTCCTGGCGCAGCACAGATTCTCATCATGTTCGAAGCATTCATCCTCAGCATCTTTACCCCTCGCTCCATAGCCTCCCAGTCTTCAGCGGACAATAAACCTGCCCAATAAGAGATGTAACCACAAGCAGAGTATACCACATCAAAAGGAGATCTCAGCTCTTTGAGCTCAAAGATTTTTTTGTTACGACAATTCCACATAGCCCAGCACAAAGCGGCCAAGCCAAAGGTGTAAAATCTTTCCTCGTCAGGAAGGTAACAGTAGCACCACGCAAAGTATTGCCACAGATCATTAGGGCAACGATCAGTGCCAAAAACACACCCAACTGTCCTCCACATAACTCTAGCAACTGGACAGGTAAAGAATAGGTGATTAGATGTTTCTTTCTTATTGCAAAAAGAACACATCGGCCTACCCAGCCACCCACGCCTGCTCATGACATCCCTTGTCAGGACCGAATACTTTCAAATGGAGTTTGAATTGATCTGGGAGCAGTTGCAATGTCCCACAGCAACACCACCTTACACCACTCGATATGCTCTACATTGCAGCTGCCGACACCCACTACATTTATCAGAAACCTGAGTGACAAATACTTGGAAACAAACAATAATACAGAACTGAATCAAAAGAAGAACTAAACCTGAGTGGCAGTCATATGAGGAAGCAGTACAAAGTTTAGTAACGAACCCAAATCAATCGAAGGGACATGTTTTACAGAAAAGAATATTCGTCTTCTTGGTATCAACGTACCTGTACATAGCATTACATCATGAGCGAAAGGAACAAGTTCAAAACTAACATCTCATATTAATATTAACCCATCTAAAAGGGGAAGCATGGGATTCTGACAAGGACATACTGTTTCCAGAAGCTAATTAATACTCGTAAGATCTACAGTAGGTACAGATGTTGCAGAAGTCATACTTTCTGAAGCTTTCAAAAAAGATATTCATTGTCATTTCCCAGGTCAATCAGCATAGCCTATTGAACACATTCAAATGTCTCCTTCAGTATTTGATAAATTCAGAATTAGTTATTTTTATTTACAACTCATGCAAGGTACTTTTTTTCAGTTTTCCTCCTATTGAGAAGGAACTAGAATAACAGATCAGGTAATTCCAAAAGAAGCTAAGAGAGGAGCATATAGTGTTACGTAGATACTTTAGTTTTTCAAGGAGATACTTTTTGGTCAGCTATCCAAACATGTTGCATTTCACAGCCGTGAAAATGTGCTACTTTGGATTCGTCCTCCCATACACAATAATTGTTTGTGAATGGAAGATTAGGGCCAATCAGACCAACAGTGAATCCTTTCTTTGCTTTGCTCATTCTGCAGCCAGAGATAGCCAGGCTGGAGGACCACATCCATCAGCTATGGGCAACAACTACAAAGATTCAGATAACATAATCAACTACTTGAAGAATGCTACCAGACACTAATGTACTTAGACAATGACAATTAACTTTGAAACCAAATTAATTTATCCTTGAAGAAAAAGAACTAAACAAAAATTTCATACATGCTGAACATTTTTTGAAATACACATTGTCAAAAAATTTCAGCATGTTTTAAGAAAATGTTCAACATAAATTACAAAAATGTTCTTCGTGTATTAATAAAATTGATCAACATATATTTAAAAATATACAATTTGCATTTAAAACATGTTCAGTGTGTATTACCAAAAGTTCAATATATTGAAAAATGTTCACCGTTTGTAAAGAAAAGTTCATCATGCATTAAAAAAATGATCACTATACGAAGAAAAAATAGTTCAGCATACATTATTTGAAAACATGTGCATCATATATTGAAGCCTATCCAAAAAATGTTCAGTAAGTATGTTAAAAATTCAGAAGAAAAACCAACCCACTGAATGAAAAAAAGGAAGAAAAACCTACAAATAAGCCAAAACCAGAAACAAAAATAAAACATAATAAGAAAAATGAAACGAAAAGAAACCTGGGCGAACGAGCCCCAGCACGCCTATTTTCAGTTAAGTGCACGAAGGTACCACAACTAAGGCATCACGTGCGGAGAGTTAATTGCACGAAGATACCACAATTGAGGCAACACATGCAGATTGGTACAACTTTTCATAATTTCTATATGTCAGTATCAAGTCTTAGCTCTTACAAAAGGTTTAATTTGCGTACAAACGTCAGTTAATTGCACAAAGGTACCACAATTGGGGCAGCACGTGCGAATTGGCATCCCTTTTCACAAGTTTTACATGTCAGTACCAAGTTTGGAGCTAGCCATTATAAAAAGGTCTAAATCACATACAAACACGTATTGACGGCGTACCTGATCGGTGGGGCTGTTAGTTAGGTGCCTATTTCGCATGATTTTTTGCAAAATGCCTCCTTGCTTTATACGTAATCACATAAAGGTCCATTATTTTTGCTGAAAAAAGTGTTGTGAGTGACTTTTTTTGTTTGCAAGTTTCTACGGACTCTTTTGAAATTTCCGTCAAATTGGAAAAATATATAAAAGAAACAAAAAATAACGCGCCGACAGGAATTGAACCGGCGACCCGTTGTACACAGTGTGCGCGATAGCCAACAGACCACTGCGACCGTCATGCTAGAGCTCAGGCAGAACTGGGCCGGCGGTTGGGCCCAACGAGGACTGCGAACTTTTTCTGTTTCACGTTTTACTAGTGCACGTGCTGGGGCTCGTTCGTTGCCCAGGTTTCTTTTCATTTCATTTCTCTTAGTATTAGTTTTGTTTCTGGTTTTGTCTTATTATTAGGTTTTTCTTCCTTTCCTTTTTTTTTCATCCACTGGGTTGGCTTTTCTCCTGGATTTTTAACATACTTAGAACATTTTCTAAGATAGGCTTCAATATATGATGAACATGTTTTCAAATACGCATGAACATTTTTTTTAATGTACGCTGAGCACCATTTTTGCGTATAGTGAACATTTTTTAATTCACGACGAACTTTTCTTTACAAACGGTGACCAGTTTTTTAATATAATGATTTTTGGTAATATATGTTGCACATTTTTGCAATATACATAGAATAGTTTTCTTAACATATGATGAACATATTGCATAATGCGCGGTGAACTTTTTGTAATATATGATGAACTGTCAAAAAATGTTCAGCACGTATTAAAAACTTATTGTGTAAAATCATTCTTGCATTTCAAGAAACACGTCTTTTTTTAATAAAAGCTGAACAGTTTTAATGCATTTCTAAAATATATTATGATTACACAATTGTTTTTAATACATGTTGTCAACTTTTGAAGTAAGTGTTCGCTTAAAAAAATACAATCAATATACGAGTAACACACAAAAAAAAACTCTGTGTTGAGCATATAATTCTTTTCATAGTTGTGTATTTGAATAATATAATGAGGGAACACAATAATTGTGCATGCTTGTGGTCCTGAGTGAAGACACATAATTTTTGGACCATGCATGTGTTCTAGTATGTGCTTGACACTTAATAATACTAATACGTAATCGCAAAAAATAGTATTAATATCATGATTAAAAAGAATGAGTAACTCAGCCGCGCGCAGCCTCGCTCGGCCTAGCGTATCCACACTAGCATAAAAGAAATTCCCCTGCAAAATGATGTAGCTTTTGCTGTATCGCTGTGGCTAGTGCGCACAGCCGGAAAACCACAGGTTGACGGTTCGAATAGTGCGGGTGGGCGTAGTTTTTCATTTCTTTTATTTATTTCTCCAATTGAACGGATACTTTCAAACTAGTCCGATTCGGTGGTGGATACTTCTTTTATTTATTTCTCCAATTCAACGGATACTTTCAAAGTAGTCTGATTCGGTGGTGTATACTTGTAAACGAAAAACAATTCACTCACATGACCCTTTTCCCGCAAAATAATGGGCATTTAAGCAAGCGTTTTTTTGGCCCGTCTTTCAGGTACACCCTCAATACATGTTTATACGGAATTTATATCTTTTTTAACGGCTAGCCTCAGACTTGATACTGACGTGCAAAAATTAGAAAAAGTGATAACAATCCACACGTACTGTCCAATTGTGATACCTCCGTGCAACTAACTCGAGTTAACTTGATTACATGAAGAGGAATATAGTTTACAGAACCAGTGACAATGGACAGTTACCACCACACATGGATCAAACAAATCAAGTTTGTGATATAATGGATCAAACTGGACACTTTTCTCGGTACTGACCAATTAGCACCGCAAATTGATAGACGAAGAGAAAGATGGCATCTATATATGTGAATTAAGCTCGGTTGATTTGAGCGTACGGATGCTATTTGTGTATTAATTAGAGACAATTGTACACAATGCGTTGCAAGGTAGAACAAAAAATGTGAAAAGGGGTTGAATAAACTTGTAGAGAGGCTACCAACATAACAACAGGAATCCTTTTTTTACCAAAAGGAAAAGCAGCAACCTGCACAGTGCTCCATGAAATGTACGGTGGATAAGGGGGTTAGGGAGAGCATGTAAAGCCATTGCCCTATAGGAGCAGCGGCGACCTTCCCTTTCGTCCCTCTGGAGTTGTTGCACAAATACACTGACCTATATGTTAGAGAGGCAGAAAAAGGGATCAGGACACACACACACTTACGCACGCACGCACGCACGCACACACCGGGGAGGCACCATGAGAAGGCATGTGCAAGAGGATGATCTGGTAAGGGGGTACGTGCTCACCTCAGCTTGATGTGTCAGTCGATTCTTGTGGCGGTGCAGATCGAGCGACCAATGTAGGGAGGTGCAGATCAAGCGGCCGGTGTAGGGCACTGCAGATTGAGCGTCGATGTAGAGGATGAGGACATTGCCGCAGTGAAGAAACTGAGGCAGGGGATCGAGCAGAGCTGGAGGCGAAGAAGACTACATACAAAGCGTGCTCGGCGCCCCCCTTGTACAGCACCGCCCAGTCGCTAGCCTTGCTTCTCGCGCCGCCGCTCAGGCTCGCCATGTCCAGGGAAGGAGGCGTGGGTGGAGGCACGAGGGGGACGGGGTGAGGAGCAGTGGCGGCGACCTCGGTAGCAAGAGAGGAAGGAGAGGGGTGCGACAGGGATGAAGGCTAGGGTTTCACCCAATCAGGCGACATCTTCTCCTTACGCGTAGCTCAGCCAGCCACGGGAAGCCACACAAGTGCCTTGATGTGAAATCTCCAAACTGCCCTCAGCGGCCACCCAAATTTGCAGCGCAGTGGCACGTCCCATGCGCATATCCACGGCTACACCGGGCACACTCACGCCCAAAGCCAATGATAGTGGCGGCCCACCCCGTCTGGGTCCCGCTTGCCATGGAGTGTTAGGAAGGCAACACGTGTGAAAATTGGCGGACACTATTCATTGGTTGTCACATCAACTCCGATCCGACGGCCAGGATCGTTTCATCATAAAATCTGACGGTCGGAAGTATTTTGGACACGCAATCTAACGGCCGAAAATCCAAGTGCCCTTAGGAGGCTTCATTTTGGTCTAGAATGTAACAATAGGATTTTTCCATGTTAGTACCAAGATTGGGGCACGCGGCTGCAGAATGGTCTAAACTGCATATAAACACATATTGACGCTGAAACTGACCGGCGGGGACCTCCTGGCAGGGGCCAACGTGGCATGTTCTTTGAAGTTCCACGTCTTTCTCGCTATGTTTTCATCACTATACTTTACATACATTATTTCTGAACTTTCACCGTAGCATATAATGATTTGTAATTTAATATTTCAGGTATTTCATCTTAGTGGATGGCGTATGGAGCACACAGGCTTGGGGAATCATCAATTGTGCTTTACCCAACAAAAACCATGGAAGCAGGGTATTAACAACAACTTGCATTAGCGATGTTGGCAAGTTTTGTTCTGTACGTCCCACTGATGTCTATTGGATGGAGACACTAAGTGATAAAAAGTCTGAAGTCGTATATGAGCAAGAAACAAAACGAGTTAAAGAATGGCCAGCTGAAGTTGCCACAAATATGTTAAATATGTGTGGTGGCATGCCATTGGCTATAATTATTGCAGCCGGCATATTAAGTACGAAAGATGAAGAACTCCCGGAGCTCAACATGTCTGTTGTTTCATCACTAGAGCAATATTCCACGTCAAAAGGGATGGCAAAGATACTCCAGATAAGTTATGCTGCTCTATCCATGCCTTTGAAGTCGTGCTTGCTTTATTTGAGTATTTTTCGTGAAGATTATACCATCAAGAAAGATCGTCTGATACACTTATGGATAGCGGAAGGACTTATTCCTATAAAAGATAAAGAAATAAAATGTCAAGAAATAAGAGATGAAGAAACAAGATGTGAAGAAGTGATAGTTGACGGAGGAGAAAAAACAAGAGAAAAAAGGGGTGAAGAAAAGAGACGGGAAGAAACAAGTGGTGAAGAAAAAGGAGGTGAAGACACAGTTGAAGGAGGAAAAGGAGCAGGAGTTAAAGAAAAAAGAGGTGAAGAAATAATATGTGAAGAGAAAAGCAGTGAGGAGAAAGGAGCTGAAGAAACAAGTGGCGGAAAAATAAGATGTGAAGAAGCAATCAGTGAAGAAAAAGATGGTAAAGGTGACGAAGAAAGCTTGTGGGAGACAGGGGAGAAGTACTTCAACGAGCTTATCACGAGGAGACTCATTCAGCCAGTGTTCGGCTACGATGATGACCAGGCAGTGGGTTGTACCGTTCACAGTGTGATCCTTGATTTCATCAAGTCACTGTCGTGCAATGGCAACTTTGTTACATTCGGTGCAGATCTCAAGTCCGGGCTGTTTCCAGGTAGCAAACATACGGTTCGGCGATTCTCGCTCGACTGCTATGACGACCAAGACGAAGATGGCACCTTGGCCTCGATCGCAGTTCACCTATCTAGAGTGCGATCGGTCACTGTTTTGGGAGATATTCAAGGGATTGCTGGCTTTTCGGCCCTCACAGTGTCTGGGGAAATTCAAGGGACGTCAGTCCTTCCGTCTTTCAAACTTATACGAGTACTGGATCTGGAAGATACTGCTCATCTGAGAAAGCATCATCTTGAAGGCATTGGCGGATTGGTTCTCTTGAGATACCTGGGACTTGCAGGGACTGACGTCGATGAGTTACCAGAAGAAATTGGGGAACTAGAGCAGTTGGATACCCTAAATTTGAGGCGGACAACAAATCTGAACACTTTGCCTGCGTGTATAGCTGAACAGATAAGGTTGGCACATCTGCTAATTGAAGCTACTGTCAAACTGCCCAGCAAGATCCTGGAAATGCAGGGACTAGAAGAAGTATCGACAATAGGTGTCGGCAATAGCAGCTCAATCGGCTCAGTCGTACAGCTCCTGAAGAAGTCAGAGCGGCTGAGGGTTCTCGGCTTAAGATTTGATCGGTCACACCTATCTGATGATGAGAACGCAAGAGCCCTATTTGAGCAGGTTGCAAACTGTACTAAGCTTCGTTCCCTGTCTCTTGATTGCCTTGATAATAAGTTGCTTGACTTACTGCTCCGGTTCCCTCCATCTGATGAGCTCCGAAGATTTGAGCTGAAAGTCTCTGCTCCACTTCGCAGAGGACTGGCCCCTCTTGTCAGCGTTACCCACATGGATATTGAGATTGTTCGGTTAAACAACGAAGGTGTCCGTGTCCTGGGAGGCTTGCCTAAGCTAGTACTTCTCAAGTTAGTATCTTCAGGTATCATCGAATCTAAACTTAAATTAAAACGTATCATCGAACCACAGTTATTGAAGAAGATCGTCCGTGTGACCATGAGACTAGGAAAAAGGATTCCATTGACGAAGAAGAAGGGTATAAACAGTAGGTGCACCGTCAGTGGGGATGATGGCTTTAATTGTCTTAAGGTGTTCTCGTTCAATTGCCTATCTGGGGGGACGGAGCTGCGCTTCACATCAGGAGCCATGAAGAAGCTTGAAAGGCTATCCCTCCAATTCTCTGCACTGCAAACAAAGCCTCGGTATGGAAACTTCAGTTTTGGCATTCCGTGTCTCTCTTCTCTCACACATGTCCATGCCACGGTTAACTGCAAATCTGCTAAAGCTAAGGTGGTGAGGGATGCGGAGAAGGCAATCAGAGATCAAGTAGCTATGTTGTCCTCGGTACAAACAGCAGTATTCAGCACAAACAATACTTCTTCCGGGACAAAGCAAACAAGGCAACTACTTCCCTAGAATTGTGTCTACAAGACTATCTCCAGCGGCAAGGAATGGTTAATTTAGTCGTAAGTTAACATCAATTCTGTCTTTGTGCTCATATGCTTCTCTGTATTATGTAATAAATGAAACTGGGCTCTCTTTCACGTAGCGTTGTAAGTGTCACGCTCATACCAACAATCTTGTTTCCGACTCGACCAAATACATATGTACTGTACTATTTGCTTGCTTTTCTCCTTGTGTGATCGCACGTTTTGTTCCATTTAGAAGGTCTGCACTGTCAGCAATCATTTATCTCCATATAAGTTACACAGTGGTACGCACATTTTTTATTTTTTGAAACGAGGCAAAAGATTTGCCACTCCAGTAATTACGTAATATACCGCCAGCCAAAACCACCGGCAAAGGTCCGACAACCGTCGGAAAAGGCTGGCCGTCGACATAGATGGCGTCAGCAAACCTCTAATAGACTAATACCCGTCGGCATATATAGATATCATGACGGTTGTAGTGAGCCATCGGCATAGGTGCCCGGCCGGCAAGCCTCTAATACCCGTTGGCATACAAAAAACTGTCGGTATATATAGATATGACGATGGTTGTAGTGAGCCATCGGCATAGTTACCCCGTCGGCAAACCTCTAATACCCACTAGTAGAAAATAGGGCTTTGGTCCATGCCCGAAAAGGGCATTAATCCCGGTTCTCCTACGAACCGGGACCAATGGGCGCATTAGTCCCGGTTCGTGAGGCCAGGGGGCCGGCCGGGCCTCGGGGGCCATTGGTCCCGGTTTCAGACACGAACCGGGACCAATGGGCCTCGCTCCTGGCCCACAACCTTTAGTCCTGGTTGGTGTCTGAAACCGGGACCAAATGTGGTCCTTTAGTCCCGGTTTTAGCCATCAACCGGGACTAAAGCGAGGCCTATATATACCCCCCGCCCGAACAGAGCAGTGCACTGCTCTACTTTTTTGCCCGGCCGTGGGAGAGCTTTGTGGTGCTCTAGCTCACCTCCTATGCACATGAGGTGTTCGATGAAATGCCCGAGCCACACTTAAACTTTCTCCTCTCGAAGCTCCTTGCCCAAACTCCATTTTCCTCAAGATTTGTGTAGGTTTGGCGGTCCATCCTGTCCCGTCCCCGTCCTCACCGCTGTTGATTGCTCGCGCTAATCTCGTCGTTGGCACCACCGTGGTGAGCCTCTTGTTCTTATCTTCTTTCTAAAAGAAAAAAATTTCTTACTTGTATGATTTAGATTGATACTTATAAAATTTTCTTACTTTTATTATTGTTTGTTATTATATAGTGCGATGGTTTTGGCATCCTCCCTCATCGACCCTCATCATGTGTATGATTCAGATGTGGTATATACTATCTTTTATAACTATTTGTTTCATTTAGTGTTTATGACAATTATGCCGACCAACGTGACATAGATGTTTTATCTAGGAGGTACGTGAACCGGAAATTCCAACCGACCCTCTTGTCGAGAGGTTAAATTTAGTTGAAAAAGAAAACGATTACTTGAAGAAAATTTTGAAAAGAATTGAGGAGGAGAAGATGGCATTGGAGTTGCATGTTGCGGATATCGTCGATGATCAAAGGATCAAGATGGATAAAATACGCTTGAAGATTAGAAAGATTAAAAAATATGCCATTCATAATAAGGCTTGGTATCATTATGCCGTTGGATCAATTGTTACCTTAGTTGCGATTATGATCGCATATGTTGTTGCATTGAAATGTTTTCCATAGTTTCAATGTATGGTTTAATTAGATGCTCTAGAGAGCTATATGTTGTTCAATGAGAACTATGTATGAACTTTATGTATTTATTTTTCAGTAATAACATTTGATCACTACTGTACTTTGGTTTTATTGTGATGATGAACTTCTATTATTTTATCCACTTCTCTATTCATGATGTTCTGTAATGGTTTTTGCCACACTTAATTATATATAATGCATGCAGATGAACCGGGAATGGATGTACAGTGACATACGCACCTCCGAGTACATTAAGGGCGGGCATTATTTTCTCGAAGTGGCTAAGGCAAACAAGCAGAATGGTTTTATGTGTTGTCCGTGCCCTATCTGCGGGAATACAAAGTCTTACTCTGAAGCGAAAACCCTTCACATCCACCTGCTTGAGAAGGATATCATGCCACACTATAATGTTTGGACCAAGCACGGAGAAAGAGGGGTTATGATGGAAGACAATGAATAAGAAGAGGATGATGACAACTATGTGCCCCCTGAATACGGTGATGCTGCAACGGCAGAAGCTGAAGATCAAGAGGAACCGGACGATGTGCCCGATGATGATCTTCGCTGGGTCATTGTTGATGCAAAGAGACAATGCGAAAGTGAAAAGGCAAACGTGTTAGAGGATCATAAAAAAGGTTGTACCCCAATTGCAAAGATGGCAACACAAAGCTCGGCACCACACTGGAATTGCTGCAATGGAAGGCAGACAATGGTGTATCTGACAACGGATTTGAGAAGCTACTAAAAATATTGAAGAAGAAGCTTCCAAAGGATAATGAATTGCCAGACAGTACGTATGGAGCAAAGAAGGTACTATGCCCTCTAGCTAGGATTGGAGGTGCAGAAGATACATGTATGCCCTAATGACTACATTCTCTACCGTGGTGCATACGAGGATTTGAATGCATGCCCGGTATGCGGTGCATTGTGGTATAAGATCAGACGAGATGACCCTGGTGATGTTGACGGCGAGCGCCCCACACTACTAGGAAAAGGGTTATAGATGAAATGGATACTAATGGTGCACCTGACATGTGATGCGCCACTACTATATAGCAGTGGCGCACCATGTGCTGGTGCGCCATTAGTGTCCTCCACACTAATGGCGCACCAGACACATGATGCACCACTAGTAACAATTTTTTTTATTTTTCCAAACATACTAATGGCGCACCCAGGCACACTGCGCCATTACTAGTTCTAACTAGTAATGGCGCACCAGCCACATAGTGCGCCACTACTGTATTTTTTAATTCTTTTTTTTGCAAAACTACTAATGGCGCACCGTGGCATAGTGCGCCATTACTAGTTTAAACTAGTAATGGCGCACTATGCCATGGTGATGCCGTTCGAAAGGATGAATGTTGTCATCAAAGGATATGTTCGCAACATGTCACGTCCAGAGGGAAGCATAGCCAAGGGCTTTCTAACCAAAGAGTGCATCTCCTACTGCACGAATTATCTAGGCATCGAGAACCCCGTTGGTCTGCCTGTCAACAGGAACCTCGGCAGGCTCGCTGGATGGGGTCACCGTGAGGGTCGCCGCGAAATGCATGTCGACTTCGAGGGTCGACTCGCCGACTTTGAAAGAGCAAACCTAGTCATGCTACAACACATAGACGTGGTCGATCCTTGGGTGGTAGAGCACAAAACCTTTATTGAGAAGACGTACAATGACCGAGGCCAATAGAGGACGGACGGAGTTATAATCAAAGAGCACAACTCATGTTTCATGCGTTGGTTCAAGCAGAAGCTTCTGTCGTACCCTTTACATGAGGATTCTTTCGCGGAAGAACAACTCATATTCACCTTGTCACATGGAGCCGAGCACAACCTGATGACGTATGAGGCGTACGATATCAACGGTTACACATTCTACACCGAGGGAAAGGACATGAAGAGCGATGGTTATCAGAACTCCGGGGTAATGATTAAATCCTACACCGGTAACGACAAGGACAGATACTACGGAAGGATCGAGGAGATCTGGGAGCTGAGCTACGCTGGAGAGAAGGTCCCGATGTTCCGTGGCAGATGGGCCAAGAGCGTCATAAAAGAAGACCGGTATTTCACCACCATGGTTATACCCGAAGCCAAATCCAAGACCGCGGGCGCAAACATCACCGTGAAATATGAGCCATGGGTATTGGCTTCCCAAGTGGACCAATGTTTCTGCATTACCGACCCGCCAAAGCCCAGTCGTGTTGTCGTGAGGAGAGGTAAAAGGAAGATCATCGGAATGGATGGAGTCGCCAATGAGCAAGACTTCGACAAGTACAGCGACCCGAAGATGGAACATGACGACGACGATGAAGTATCAGCATACACCACAAGAAGAAGCAGGACCACCCTACCTAAAGGACGTCCGTTCAAGAGAAGAACTCCATTTACGAAAAATAAGGGCAAGAAGATTGTGAACAGATAGCTAGCTAAGATCGATTGTATTTAAATTGTAGCCTTGATTTCTCAATTGTATTTCATGGGCACTTTTTGAAGTCATGAATGTTTTTAAATTTCATGGACACTCGATCTCGATCCTCCTCCATCTCGATCGCTATCCCACCTCGCCAGATCCGATCCCCCTCGCTGCCGAGCACCCCCGCACCCTCTCCCCCACTCCACCGGCCGCCGCCGCCG